ACCAGTGGACCATACTTCATGGATTACTTTGGTCATCCTTCCAAGGCATACGTTGGTACTATGGTTGCTATCTTAGAGATTGGTGCATTCATCACTTCCCTGATGGTCGGTCGCATTGGCGACATCATCGGTCGAAGACGCACCATCTTCTACGGGTCTTGCATCTTCTTCGTCGGAGGTGCTCTCCAGACTCTGGCTACTTCCATGCCCATGATGATGGCTGGACGTTTCGTTGCCGGTTTCGGAGTTGGCATGCTCTCGACTATTGTGCCTGTTTATCAATCTGAAATCTCGCCTCCTCACAACAGAGGAAAACTGGCATGTATTGAGTTCACAGGAAACATCGTCGGTTACTCAACATCTGTCTGGGTTGATTATGGCTGTGGCTTCATTGAGAGTGACTATTCTTGGCGCATTCCTCTTGGACTGCAATGCTTCATGGGTGCTCTGCTTGGACTCGGCAGTCTGGTCATTGTTGAATCACCTCGGTAAGTCAATCGTATTCGGTGTGCGTCGAAATGACATGCTAATTTCACAGATGGCTTTTGGACAACGACCATGATGAAGAAGGCATGGTGGTCATTGCTAACTTGTACGGAGGTGGCGACATTCATGATCCTAAGGCTCGAGACGAGTATCGCGAGATCAAGATGAACGTCCTTCTTCAACGCCAAGAAGGCGAGCGAACATATAAGGACATGTTTCGTCGATACAAAACCCGAGTTTTTATTGCCATGTCCGCCCAAGCGCTCGCCCAGCTCAATGGCATCAACGTCATCTCCTACTACGCACCGTACGTCTTTGAGTCTGCTGGTTGGGTTGGCCATGACGCTGTCCTCATGACTGGTTTCAACAGTCTCACATATCTTATGTCAACAATTCCACCATGGTACTTGGTGGATCGTTGGGGTCGACGCAAGATCCTTCTTTCTGGTGCCACAGCCATGGCCATCTCACTATCGCTCATATCTTACTTCCTCTTCCTCGACATCAAGTGGACTCCTCGATTGGTTGTTCTGTTCGTCATGATCTATAATGCCGCTTTTGGTTACTCATGGGGACCTATCCCCTGGCTCTATCCTCCTGAGATTCTCCCTCTTAGCATTCGATCAAAGGGTGCCAGTCTGTCTACAGCGACCAACTGGGCGGCCAACTGGCTTGTGGGCGAAATGACGCCTATCCTCCAGGAATGGATTAAGTGGCGCATGTATCTGGTTCATGCATTCTTCTGTGTGGCCAGTGTGGTTATTGGTAAGTTCTTTTGCCATACCTGAGCCGACACCGCCTTACTAACATGTTTTAAGTATACTTTATCTACCCGGAGACCTGTGGCGTGCGGCTGGAAGACATGGACTCGCTATTCGGAGACGCCAGTACCGTTGCTGGTACTCCTTCGTTACACGGCACTGAAACCGGTTCTTTGATGAGAGCCGGATCTCCTGTAGGATCTTCTCGAGGGCTCATTGGACCCTCATCTGCCATTCCTGGACTTTCCCTCGACCCCCCTGCGATCGATGATGACAGCAAGTCTCAGATGCAGACCGGCGGTGATGAACGAAGTATTGGTGGCTGGCTATCAAGAGTGGTCGGACGAAACAGGTCCGATAGTGGCAGCAGCGCGCAAGGTCGGTATACTCCTCTTGGTCAACAAGAAGAGGGCCGAGAAAGCCGACGTGATGACTATTGATGAAGTATTTTGGAGTTTGTCTATAAGAATACCTGCATATAGATGGCGCACAAGGCGCAGGATGCGTTACCGCCAGGATAAGATAGCGCAGCGATCGCCCTGAAGGATACTGGAGTCACTTGATGGGAAAGAATCAATTAAAGGTGCCAGGGCTTAAAGGAGGCTTACGAAATGAAGGTGATGTTAGTGTGTGTGTGTTGTTGGATGAGAATCGCTGCATTTCCTCAAAGATCTATGGATCGATATATTTAGACGGAATTTTCATGAATTTAGACGGCTGACAATGGCCTGTATATCATATATACCTAATGAGAAGAGCGGCTTGGTACAGATAAAGAATTGACCATGCTAAGAAAGTGCTGTTGCTGCTGCGGAGTAAGGTTTCGCTCTCTCGCAGTTTACTGTCATGAACTCGATTTATTCCGTGATAGTTAAAGTGGGCCCATTACAACTTCTCACACATCGTGACGGGGGACACCCATGACATCTAAACTGTCTATCTAAATTCTGCAAGCATGGCTACCCCGACCGAGATAAGGTATGCTTACCGACATCTATATCGAAACATTCTCAAGGCAGTGCAATACACAATTCCTGCTCGCTTCGTAGCCCGCGATCAACTCCGGAGAGCCTTTCGTGAGCCAGGTGCCACATATGATGGACGGGGCATCAAGCGAACCATATGGTTTCTCCAGGCGGCAGCGAAAGAGAGAGGATTGGAGCATAAGATCTTGAAGAACTTATTGCGAGTCCGGCAGATGAGATACCGGAAACGAGATTACTCGGCTTATGATCCATTGAAACATGTAGCGTAAGTCTGAATCAATTTCAATGAGTGAGCAGTGCTTATGTTGCGATTAGACAGGAGATGAAGGATGCAAATGTGACTGCGTATAATCATTATGATATGACGGTCGCTATGCTGAATAAAACGATGGGCCTCTGTCTTCGTTGACATTACTTGAGGCTCCCTGAAGTTTATGCAAAGAACAATCCGGTACGCCAGGACTTGCCGCGAAAACCTGCGGTGGTTGAAGTTCTTGGAATACAGACATACAGATATCAAGTTCGCAGACAAATAAGGAACGAAAATACGGATGTGTATTTTGCTATCAAAGGCTTGAGGTACTGTAGAAGCTCCCCTAGCGGCTCTTTGCTGAGACGATGAAAGGGACCCGTACATTTACGGTACTGGATACACAAGGCAAAAGGAGTTGTATGGTTGATGGCAGATCTTGGGCGGAATAACCGACAAATTATTTGCATACGTTCTGGCTTGGAAATTCCCAATTCCCCGAACGGCGAGACCCTAAATAGTACATGTACAATACATTGAACACAAATCGCAATCCTCACTAGGCTAACCGAAGCCCGCAACGCCTTCATGAATGCTTTTCCTTTGTCTGTGATAGTCTTCTCCTTTAATCATGCTTGCTGTGTCTTTTCTCGGTATTCGGAAGGAAGCTCTACTCCTCACCCGGAACGTCAATGTCGACACCAAGCTCCTCAGAAAAAACCTGGTTTAGGCTGGATCCATCACGAACGTAGATCCAGTCACCCACAGCTGTGCCCTCTTTCTCATTCTGACCCTCTCCAAAGAGGCACCAATCATAGCGCTTAGGGCCAGAGATGGGAGATGACAGCCATATCTGCTTATTAGGGGGCTGCTTGTTGATGATGTATGTGCCCTTGTCAGGCCAACTGATGCTGAGGACTCCAGCCTGTAGATAAATGTATCAGATGGGGATGACGATAATCGCATTGGTTATACGTACTGAGAAGTCGACATCGATGTCTTCTCGTTGGTCTTGGAGTTCCTCAAACTTGCCGACAACATTATCGAGGTACTCGTCCGCAAGGTCATGATACTGTTGCTCAGTAATATCGGCGACAACAGCATTCTGATGGATCTCTTCGGCTTCGTTCAAAGGCTTGGCAGGATTCTCCGTATCAGGCATGATACCCCGCTTGTCGGAAATTGTAGTCGAGAAGCATTTTTGCGAAAGGGCACATCGGATGGAAAGGTGCGAGATTGCAGGAGCAATACGGAAGCTTGAGCGGCAGATGGGCGTTGAAGAGCGGATCGCTCGCGAAGCCAAGCGGGAAGCTTGAAATGCGATTTGTCGGGACATCTTGTTTGTTAGAAAATCAACTTTCGGGAATTGCGTCGTGACTGTAGTATTGAATGGTTAGAAAGGGCCCGTAAATGAAAACCAGAAAAGCATTCGCGGTGACGAGCTTGGTCAATCGCTGTTATTCAGAAGATGAACGAATTGAAGCAATCAAGCTCCCCCGCGGTCTGGATGAGTGCAGCTGCCAGGTGGGACTGACCAATTGCACCATGACTTCCATTCGTCAGTAGGTACGTACCGGAATCGTAGCTCCCCCCATCCTGTCATCATCAGCTTTGCGTCTTCATTGCAGACACATGCCCCACCATTCACCATTTCAACCTACAATACCATTTGAATCCATACCTAACCTACTCTACTAGGTCATCTACGTTGGTTTATGTGAGGGCATGAAGAGCTCCTGTCCCTAATCATGATCAACGCCTTTCTGGTCTTCAACGGCCAAGGTCAGCCTCGTTTGACAAAGTTCTATACCCAATTGGTATGCTTTATCCCCTCCAGCTTTGTTACCAGAAACTCAGATGCGCCCCAAAGGAAACTAGTATACAACAGCGCCTCATCTCCGAAATATTTACACTCGTCTCGAATCGGCCGGCCGGATCTTGTAATTTCTTACCCCTTCCACCTCTGCTCGCCGCTTCAGGCACCTCCCACACCTCCTCGGAAGAACAGAACGATGTTCCAACACTGGTAACATACCGCAACTATGCGACCCTTTATTTCATCGTCATCTCTACATCGACCGAGTCGCCGCTTGCCCTTATCGATTTGATCCAAGTCTACGTGGAGGCCCTCGACAAGCTGTTCGAGAACGTCTGTGAGCTGGACTTGATCTTCAACTTCGAAACCCTGCATTCTACCTTATCAGAAATGATAATAGGGGGCGTGGTAATAGAGACAAACCTAGATCGCATTGTCTCAGGGGTAAAGGCGCAAGGAACGGTCGCGAAGAGACCTGTGAATGAAGGAAGAGGGCCTACTGGCCTGGGAAGTGGACTTGGTATGGGTGCCAATTTTGCTTGGACTGGGCGATGAGGATTACGTCTATTCAGAGCGACGAACGACATGCATGCCAGAGCGGATTACAAGATGTGTCTGCCTGTTGAGATATCCATATATGTTTCGTCTCTACGAGACTAACGCCGAACTCCAAGTATTGAATAATATACGTATAGAATACACTATTTTGATTCTGGCTCGTCCTTTGGGGGATGAAAAGGCGGCGCATCTGGTCGTCGTTCGTATCGCTTCTCCGGATCGACTGTGCCGAATAGATATTGTGTCTTCTTACGAATCTAATGATGGCGTTAGCAGTTATTGATTCTTCTACAATCACAAATACGAACCTCTTCAGAAGGCTTATACTTCTGACCCCACCATTCGAACTCGGAGTAGAAGCAGATCCAGATCATTGCAGCTGGAGCTCGAGTTAGATAAGTCCAGAAATGATTGCGTGACGATAATCTTACCAACAATCGTCAGGAGCTGAGCAGTCTTGACAAATTTCACCCATCGCGGTGCTCGACTTGCTAAGATAATGCGACGCTTGTACTTCTTCTCAAACCGGAGTTGTTGCTGGACAGTAAGCTGCTTGAAGTTCGGAGGCCACACTTTTCGGGCCTTGTAAGGATTGGTTGCCACCGTCAGAGGAGCCTTCTTGAGAAGGCCTTCCTTTGAAGACGAGGCCATGCGTCTCATCAGAGTGGAAAACATTGTGATTGAGTCGTTTCGGACCTCTAGTGACTCAATGGTTCAAGACATGAATCTTCGCATGAGGACTGTGCTTAGTGTTGGAGAATCTCCAATAAGCGCCACATCACCGCCACATCACCAGCCACATTGATGCACTACTGTACGAGTGTGCCCCGCGATTTTCACCCCTCCTTCTCAAGTCCGATTCAATCCCTTCCAAACAGTGACTCAAAAATTTCCACGGAATTTCGAAGTGCGTATTGTTCACTCAACCTTCATATTTCAACATACTATTGGGGGGGAAACTGACGATATTTTCTCTTTCTTCCCAGGTCTCGTCCATTTGCGACCATGGCTTCTACCGATTCTGTTCCCAAGGCCATGGAGGCTCTCAACATCTCCAAGACCAAGGAGCTCAAAGGTGCAGGTCCAACTTCCTCCACCGTTTACAAGTGGCCACTCTAACTATGAGCAGACTGAGAAGCGAGATACTTTGATCGCACTCGAGAAGAAATATCAACAGAAATGGCAGGACGAGAAAGTCTTTGAAGCTAATGCTCCCACCACGGATGAGGTGCCCCTCCACTCTATTCCCGCCGCCGAACTTCGGGAGCAGCAGCCCAAATTCTTTGGAACCATGGCCTACCCTTATATGAACGGAACTCTCCACGCTGGTCACTCTTTCTCCGTCAGCAAGGTTGAATTCGCCGCTGGTGTGGCACGCATGCAGGGAAAGCGAACCCTCTTCCCCATGGGCTTCCACTGCACTGGTATGCCCATCAAGGCTTGTGCCGACAAGCTCGTCGACGAGGTCAAGATGTTTGGCCAAGACTTTTCGGGCTACAAGGATGATGAGCCTGTTGTCGAAGAGAAAGCCCCCGTTGCCAAGCAGACCAAAGAGGATATCACCAAATTCAAGGCTACGAAGGGCAAAGCTGCGGCGAAAGCTGTCAAGATGAAGTATGTAGAGCTTCTGCCCTCGAAATTTTCAACTTGCTGATATACCTCACAGGTACCAGTTTCAGATCATGCAAGCTATCGGAATTCCCGCTGAGGAAATCCACAAATTCGCCGACCCTCAACATTGGCTTCAATACTTCCCTCCACTGTGTAGGGAAGACCTGACCAATTTTGGTTGCCGTATCGACTGGCGCCGGTCGTTCGTCACCACCGATGCTAACCCTTACTACGACGCTTTCGTTCGATGGCAGATGAACAGTCTCAAGGCGCTGAACAAAATCAAATTTGGCAAGCGATACACCATCTACTCTATCAAGGATGGCCAGCCTTGCATGGACCACGACCGAGCTGAAGGTGAAGGTGTTGGCCCTCAGGAATATACTGCTCTGAAGATTAAGGTTCTCGAATGGGCGCCCAAAGCCGCCGAGGCCCTGAAGGATAAGCTTCCGGATGGTGTCAATGTTTACCAAATCGCGGCCACTCTAAGACCTGAGACTATGTATGGCCAGACTTGCTGTTTCGTTGGCCCTAAGATTACCTACGGGATCTTCAAAGTTAATGAGAGCGACTACTACTGTATGACGGAGCGCGCAGCAAGGAATATGGCGTACCAGGGTATCTTTGCTAAGGAGGGGGTCATTGAGAAGGTTGCTGAGATCATTGGCTCCGACATGGTTGGCACTCTTGTTGATGCTCCTCTCTCTCTACACAAGGAGGGAGTCCGTGTCTTACCTATGGAGACTGTTCTCCCTACAAAGGGCACTGGAGTCGTCACTTCCGTGCCTTCTGACAGTCCCGATGACTTTGCTACTGTGACCGACCTGGCTAAGAAGGCCGATTATTATGGGATTCAGAAGGAGTGGGCCGAGCTTGAGATCTTCCCCATTATTGAGACACCCACTTACGGTGACCTCTGCGCCCCTTTCCTAGTCAAGAAGCTCAAGATTGCCTCTCCCAAGGATACAAAGCAGCTCGAAGAGGCCAAGGAGCTTGCTTACAAGGAGGGCTTCTACCAGGGTGTTCTGAAAGTAGGTGAGTTCAAGGGCGAGAAGGTCGAGGTCGCCAAGCCCAAGGTCCGACAGCAGATGATCGATGCTGGTCAGGCATTTGCCTACTCTGAACCTGAGCGCAAGGTGGTCAGCCGATCAGCCGATGAATGTATCGTTTCTCTTATGGACCAGTGGTACCTGGACTATGGCGAGGAATCGTGGAAGAAGACCGCCCTTGACTATGTGGACAATGGTCTCAACACTTACACACCTGAAGTCAAGAACAGCTTTGAAGGAGTTCTGAACTGGTTGAACCAGTGGGCCTGTGCTCGCTCCTTTGGTCTTGGGTCTAAGCTGCCCTGGGATCCTCAATTCCTTGTTGAGAGTCTGAGTGATTCGACTGTCTACATGGCCTACTACACTATCGCACATCTTTTGCACAAGGACATTTTCGGTAAGACCAAGGGAAGCGCAAATGTCGAACCGGAACAGATGATCGACGAAGTCTGGGACTATATCTTCTGCCGCCGTGATTTAAGTGACGAGATCGTCACAGGCAGCAAGATTCCCAAAGAAACTCTGGAGAAGATGCGCCGCGAATTCGAGTACTTCTATCCTCTCGACGTGCGAGTATCAGGCAAAGTGAGTGAAATAAAAGTACCTACATTGAGATGAAGGGAGACTAATCTTCGTGTTCTACAGGATCTGATAAATAACCATCTCGTTTTCAGTTTATACTCCCGTTCGTTTCCTTTTCCTATCTTCTTCCTCGTTTTCTGTTCTCTGATTTCCCCTGGAATTTTGTGAATTTTCTGGATTTTCCTGAACCTCTCTATTTCCTCGCTCCCTTACCTCATTTCAGGCAAATTTAGTATCCCTTGACTAACACTTCTCAGATTTGGCCCTATTCTCTCAAGAGTACTGGCCTCGAAGTATCCGAGCGAACGGTCATTTGATGTTGAATGGCGAGAAAATGAGTAAGAGCACTGGTAATTTCATGACTCTCCGAGACTTGACAGAGAAATACGGTGCGGATGCTTCTCGTATTGCTCTTGCAGATGCCGGTGACGGTGTAAACGACGCCAATTTCGAGGAGGATGTTGCCGATACCAACATTCTCCGATTATATACTCTCAAAGAGTGGTGTGAGGACATCGTTCGGGATCAGGATCAGCTTCGAACTGGCGAGTTGAATTCGTTCCAGGACGCTTTGTTCAACAACGACATGAACGCGGTTATCAAGGAGGCTGTTGAGCAGTATGCCAACACCAACTACAAGCTGGCCTTGAAGGCTGGTCTATATGAGTTGACGAGTGCTCGCGATTTCTATCGAGAAGCCTGCGCAGCAGCTGGTATAAAACTGCACCGCGATCTTGCCCTCCGGTATATCGAGGTACAGGCTCTGTTGCTGGCGGTCGTTGCTCCTCACTGGTCTGAGTACATTTGGCTTGAGGTGCTGAAGAACAAGGGCACTATTCATAATGCTCGATTTCCCGAGATTAGGGAGGTTGATGCATCCCTGTCGGCAAAACGTGACTATGTACGAACCACTGCTTCCAACGTCAACTCGGCGGAGGGTCTGCAACTGAAGAAGAAGGCCAAGGGCAAGGAGACATCTTTCGACCCCAAGAAGCCCAAGCAACTCACAATCTTTGTCACGGACAAATTTCCAGCTTGGCAAGCGAAATACATTGATCTCCTGAAGGAGATGTGGAACGTGGAGGCCAAGTCGGTCAACGATAAGGAGCTCAATGGCAAGATTGGCAAGATGGGAGAGATGAAGAAGGCCATGCCATTTGTGCAGAACCTCAAGAGACGACTTCAGGCTGGTGAGCCAGCGAGCGTGGTCCTGGAGCAGAAGCTGGCATTCAACGAGAAGGAGACTCTCCTGCAGATGGTTCCTGGATTGAAGCGAACTAGCGGCCTAGTTGCTTGCCACATCATCTCAGTCGAAGAGGGCAGCAAGAAGGGATTCAACCTCGGAGATGGTAAGGAGGTGGAGCTTTCAGTACCTACAGCTGAGCATGCAGTCCCTGGACAGCCAACATTCCATTTTGAAAATGTCGAGGCTTGAATGTAAGAGCTAGAAAAGGAGATCTTGCTTGTTGCTAAAATAGAAAGTGTCACGCGGGAATGCATACAAACCCATCGGTTGAGGTTACGTGTTCCTGCATCAGATGTGTGTACTGTGTGTGGATCGACAGATCTGTGTTTTGAGTTAAAATTGGAAAAGACGTCGATCAACTATACTAGGTAGGTAGAGACGGCTCGCTTTGTCATGCCTGGCATGATCGCCGTGATTTTGATTTTGATCTGGATTGAAACCCATGTAGGCCTCCCTCTTGGCCTTTAGTCACCTCGATGCTTGACACTCCGTACTCGATACAGTAATCCGGATTCTTTGGTAGGCTATTCTTGTCCTTAGGACTCGGTACACGCATACGCTTACGCTGACATCACGTAGTGCTTTGCCACTATACAATAAGCCGAAAAAGTGGCAGTGATAATAACGAGATTCGATAATAGGTACAGAGTAGTCATGCGGTGATTGTGATAATTCCGATACTTATTGCAAAGTTGCAAAACAGTAATTATTCCAGAACTTGACAGAACATGGTTGAGCTTACAAGGTTGAGTCAAATGAGACAGGGGTATTTGATAGCATCAACGAGGCGAGAGAAGGGTTTGGTGTTATTGCATGGTTTGTTTCAACGACATGCAAAATTTCAATGGAAGTTTACTCATGTCGAAACAGACAGTCTGACCGAGCTTCTACCTTTGGCTTTTTTCTCCGAGCACTACATAAACAGGGCAGGGGACAGTTATTAATTTGATATTGAATATTTCCGGTTGCATCCCCATTTGGTCTGTAACAAACCCCTGGGGACATAAAATGGATGATGAATGCTATCGAGAAATGTTCCGGGGCAATAGGCAGTAATAATAAACAAAAGGGGCCCAAAAGCTTGTTCATGCAAAAATATGGAGTTTTCCGGGTCGGTTAAAGGAGACATAGATTGAAGGGGGGATATTCAAGTTCAAGGGACCTAGTCATCATCACTATACCTGGACACTCTCCTCCAACCGTTGATTCAGATTAAAACATGGAATTATGGATACATACTGATGGGTTCCATCAATTGCGCGTCTAGGGGAGGAAAGAAAACACAGGACCTTGATCCTAGATGACAAAAGTACTTAGGGTAATATAGCCTAAGTTTAGGATGACTTTTGCTAAGTTTATTTTGACACCCCACAGTAAGGTTCGCTGTTTTCTTGCCCCCCGAGGGCGCGTCTTGCGCGGTGTGGGAGCGATGCAGGCGACGGAAGCGGTAGAGGACGGGAGCCAGACAAGGCCAGAGTGCCGGGGCCAAGCTAGCAAGAAGTTGGCAGGGGCAGGGAGCTTGATTTTCTATGGAACCACTATAACAGCACAGGCCATTCATATTTGCTGTTTTGCTGGGGGTTCTTTGGTCTAAGTGAGCGAGAAAGTTCGAGGCAATCGATCATGATGGGGCTTGTCGGAATGTCCGCGCTGTTTCGTTTTAATGCCATGCGCGATAAGAAATGATAATAGAGTGAGAGTGGCTGGACGATCATTCCTGTTTATTCCCTCTCCCTCTCCTTTTCCCCTTGACTGGTGGCTTTGTGGTTGCTGTTAAGGCCGCAGCCTGGTCTGGGCTGTTTGATTCTGCTTGCGCGTCAGAACCACAATTAAAAAAAATCCAACACAGATCTACAGATTATTAGTCCGAGCCGCAAAATACAATCCTAGCACTTGGTCCAGCCGCAAGATTTCAGGGCACAGGCGACAGGCTAGCAGGGCACAGGGATATGAAGGTCTCATCTGCACCTGCGGGAGAAGGGGAAATAGGGAATACCGGCACCCGCTATTCGCGCGGATTCCTTGTACTTGCATGTTATTCCGTCTTTGCTTCCAGTAATTATCAACAGCGAGCTGGTTGGTGTTGTTGTGCAACCCGTCTCCAGTTATCTTGTGGTTGTTTTTAGAAACAATCTCTGGCAGAATCTAGCGGTTTTTTTATTCGCCTTGGTCTGGAAAGCTTGCGCAATCCGCCTCCACCAACCCCAAACAAACTAACCCACGCCCAACAGCGACCATTCATGATTGTTCCCTGATCCTCAAAGGTTCAGTCACAGTGCAGTATACATAATCAAAACTTGGTTGCGTTTATGACGCAAGTCTCTCGTTGCCCAGTGAAACTGTGTAGGCCTATGGAACTGCACGGCTGATCATCTTGAGGACTGTTCCTGTTTCTATGAATCTTTGGAGGTTGGTGTTGGCTGGTTAGGCTGGACCTGAACATTCTGCAGTGGTGTTATGCTTAGTTGGCTATCTCTCCCGTGGTGTGCATCCATCATGTCAATATCTTGTCGTCTTGCATATGGCTGCGGGCAGTATCAGATCTTGGTTGGTTGATCTAGCAACAATATACCGTAGTGCATAAGCATCAGCATCAGCGGAACAGTTGGTGTGAGGCTGGGTATATCTATTTTTTGCTGATTATTGAATTACTCACTGTACAGCCGCGTCAATCCTGCGCTGCAATCAACCAACCAGTGTAGTCCAGCGTGACTCAACAGAGAGCCTTCCTTCCACTGCAACCCCAACCGACACTGTAGATTGCGTTGACTCTGTGCCTTGATTTTCAGCCAGAGAAAACAAAAGTCAGTGTGGACCCTCCCAGCTCTGTAACTGACGCACCGGATCAACTTCCTCGTTGAGGCCCTGGCATCTGGTATTGGGTGATATTGAAATATCCTGGCGGTGGAGTCATGTATAGTAGTACAACGGTGGAACTCGAAGACACCAAAAGAAGTGGGTGGCTTGGGGTTGGGATGATGCAACCGCCCCCTGGGGCTGGTATCATGTATCATGTATGTACTGCACCGACTGACTCTCCTCTCAATCCTTGCGAGGCTCTCAGGTATATAGGAGTCGAAGCTCCTCTACTCGTTCAGTCATTTCCTCGTTCTCAGCACCCACTCAACAGCTACTACAACTACAATCGCTACATCAACACTCGTTTAAACCCGATCTAATTCTCTTCGAACTCTTCTACCAACAACCAAACAACCTAAACCCACCATCAAAATGCACGCTTCCGCTGCCGTCCTCGCTTTCGTCGCTGTTGCGGCTGCTGCCCAGACCCCTGTGGCTCCTGTGGCTACTCCCGTCGCTACTCCCGGTGCCCGTTAGTTCCAACCCTTTCTCACGATCCTCTCTCACGACAGTTCAACTAACATCAGTCAACAGCCACCAACGGTACTAAGCCCGGCTCCGGCTCTGGCTCTGGCTCTGGCTCTGGTTCCGGCTCCGGCTCCACCCCCGCCAACGGCGCTGCTGCCCTCGGTCTCAGCGGTCTCGCTGGAGCTCTCGCTGTTGCCCTTGCCCTGTAAATTTTGACATTTGGAACTTGTACAGGGTTTGGTGGATATGAGGACATGCTGCATTCTGATGCATAGTCCTGGAGGAACCGTGCTGGTGCGCGTTTAACTTTCGATGGAGATAGATCGGGAACGTTTTGTCCTGACTAGAATAGATAGACCAATGGAGCGAAATCACCTCCAGCTATATTAATACTAATCGCATACCACCATCGTTGTCTGGTTTTTCTTTCTTTTTCGTTGAAATATATTTTTTTTATTACCCAGAGCCCATTTGAGCCTCTCATAGTCCTGCTTGTCTCTGAAAACTTGGTAGTAACACTGAACCAAAGGAGTAACGGCGGCAAATTTATTTCCGGCGTGACGTTTGTGTTGTGCTCTTATCTTAACTTGCAGGGGTCTCAATGACCTCTTCCCTGCTCATCGCCCTTGTAAATTGGCAGATTGTGGCGGAGACACAGACCCCCGGTGTTGCAAAAAAACACGACAATCGGTTTGGTGACACATGGATGGATTTTCATGTAAGCGATTCTCATGGTTTTTGCAACCCCCTAGACAGACTTCATTGAATGAGCCGGGCTTCCAGGTACCCTGGGGGTCACTCTTGCCCTACCAAGGGAGAGGTTGCTGCTCGTATTGGTTTGGGGACGTTGCGAAAATGGAATTTTCAAGGATTCCGGAAGTTTTGGCCGATTTACCGGTGTCGAGTTGGATAGAAGCCACAATCTCCTCAGGGGGTGTCGTGCTCACGGCGGAAGGGCGATTGTCGTGCCGGGCCTATTCGCATGGGTAGTCGCAATTTGTATGATTCTATCGCCATTCTTGCTTCACTCAAGCGGTTATAGGAACCTGTCCGCCCGAGGTGCCTGAAGTGGGAGGTTTTGGTAGGTCATCCTAAAATTGTGAACAGAAAGCCACGAGCAAACCATTGTCGCAAGACATACCAGATCAAAAATAACCCGGATCATGAGACTGCAACTAGGACATACGGCAATATCCTGCTCGTCCAGCAAATCCTCGAGTGTGATTTGAAACTTGTCGCCACAAGGACATGGGAACTGGTAAACCCCCATAGCCTCGTCAAAAGTCATATCCTCGATCTCGACCTCATCGTAGATGGAAATACCCTCGTCGTCGGACATTGCAGCTGCTAGTTGATGGCTAATATGGTCGTAATGAGAAAGGTATTCTTCGGTGATGTTGTGTTTATCCAAAATATTCAGAAAAGGTGCCCCGCGATGCGATCAAAAAATCAGTCATCCCCGCGTAAAGTGGCTCAGATTATGAAAAGTGGCTGTGCTCATCCTGTGGCTGTTGGCTCAAATGTTAATCACATGCCGAGCACAACAGGAAAATGTGGGGAGGCTTACACCTGCCCCAGATTCATCGACCGAGGAAGCTACTGTATGGGGAAACTGCCATCGATATCTTGGAGCTCACAAGACGTCCTTGGTCATGTAGCGCAAGAATCTTACTCCCTTCAACACTTCGAATTCTTTTTCTCTTTCTTTGGCTTTGATCCCATGACCTTTATTTGAACCAGTGCTTGAGTTTTACTTGGATACCATTCGACTTCTGATTTCCCCATGGGCTTAACTGCTTTGAATAGATCTGTGATGTGACGTCGATACGCCTCGGCTCAACCCCAATCTCGACTACGTTTCGACTTCAAGGGACTACAGAGTTATCGCTAGGGATCGCTCAAGAGTATTACGGAGTATACGATTATCAACTTAGTCTACAGAGTCTCTGGGTCTGCGCGCGCGTCATGGCATCGCAATCGAAGCTCGCCTTGCCGGGCGATCGCACCCTCCGGGGCATCATCTCGCAACTCACAACCCTCTACGTATCCAATCGCACACGTATCTCACGCGCTGTATGGATAACGCTGTTAGCTGCCCTCGCCAATCGAATTCGCCTTGCCATCTCGGAGCAAAAGGCAGCCTCCGCCCGTGAATCTGCCCAGCGCGCAGCTCGTCGTGGTACCACATCCAGTGGAACCGAGGAAACACCCCGAAAGAAAGTCGAGCTGAATCGCGAGTTCTTTCGGTCATTGCTTCGGCTACTTAAAATTGTTGTTCCAGGATGGCGCAGCAAAGAGTCGAGGCTACTGATGAGCCACAGCTTCTTCTTGGTTCTCAGGACTTCAATTAGTCTACGCGTCGCCGAGATGGATGGTGCTATTGTGAAGGCTCTCGTGAAAGGAAACGGAAAGGAATTCCTGAAGCGCATAGTATGGTGGATGCTCATCGCGGTCCCTGCGACCTTCACCAACTCCATGGTAAGCCTAATTATTCCCCGATGTTCGTTGCTTGCTCACAACTGCTTTAGCTATCGTATCACCAAGCTGAGCTGTCGCTCAAATATCGATCGCGACTTACGCAGCATATACATGACAAGTACTTATCCAATCTGACTTTCTACGGTATCTCGGCTTTGGATGACAGAATAAAGAATCCAGATCAACTGATTGCGGTCGATGTATCAAAGTTCTCCAATAGTCTGGCCGAATTGTACAGCAATTTAGCCAAACCTCTACTGGATATGGTATGTTGAGTTGCTTGCACTTACCAGCAAAGTTGCTGACATCATTCAGACAATATATACCTGGTCTTTGTCGAATAGCGTCGGTGGTGAAGGTGTTGTCTTCATGTCACTCCTTGTCCAATTATCAGCCAACGTGATGAGAGCACTAACTCCGCCGTTTGGGAAATATGTTGCAGATGAAGCAAGGTTGGAGGGCGAATTCCGCTTCCAGCACTCACGCCTTATCGATTATAGCGAAGAAGTCGCATTATACGGCGGCCACAACGCTGAAAAAGACACGTTAGACAAGGGTTACTTTACTCTCATCAAGCACGTCAACTACATCCTCCGTCGACGATTTTACCACGGATTTATGGAAGATTTTGTCATTAAATATTTCTGGGGCGCCCTTGGTTTGATGCTCTGCAGTGTTCCCGTCTTCGTCAAGATGCCTGGTCATATCGCGATGAATATGGGCGATCGAACAGAAGCCTTTGTCACCAACAGACGGATGCTTCTCTCTGCATCCGACGCATTTGGCCGTATTATGTTCTCATATAGAGAGGTTATGGAATTGGCAGGCTATACGTCTCGTGTTGCTACTCTACTGGATGTGATGGATGATGTCCAGGCTGGTCACTTCGAAAAGAAGCTCGTCTCCTCTTCGGGCGTTGAAGGCAACGAGGCTGTTCTCAAGGGGCGTGGAACTGTCCACGAGAGTAACGACATCACTTTTATTGATGTGTAAGTTGGAGATCACTGCCCTCTGTTACTACGCTAACCCATTCGCCCAAATAGACCCATTATCTCACCTAACGGTGACGTGCTCATCAAAGCTTTGTCTTTCACTCTCAAACACGGAGACCACTTGCTTGTTGTTGGGCCTAACGGCTGTGGAAAATCGTCTCTTTTCCGCATTCTCGGCGGTCTCTGGCCTGTTTATGGAGGCACAGTCTACAAGCCCCCTTTTCACGCCATATTCTACATCCCCCAACGGCCTTACCTTTCCCGCGGCTCCCTTCGCCAACAAATAATTTACCCGGATTCTCTTCGCCAGATGCGTGCTCGTGGTGTCACGGACGCAGACCTTTTCGAGTATCTCAAAATCCTAGGTCTTGAGCACCTACCCGAATTATACGAGGAAGGTTGGGACGCTGAGGCTGAGTGGCGCGATGTTCTTTCTGGTGGTCTCCAACAGCGTGTTGCCATGGCTCGGCTCTTCTACCATCGCCCTAAGTACGCTATCCTTGACGAGTGTACCAGCAGCGTTACCCTTGAGACAGAGAAGGCCATGTATGATACAGCAAAGGCCCTAGGCGTCACTCTCATGACTGTCAGTCACCGTCGAAGTTTGTGGAAGTATCACTCCCACATCCTTCAGTTCGATGGCCAGGGCAACTATGTTTTCACCAAGCTTGATGCCGATCGACGCCTCAAACTTGAGGATGAGAAGGAAGAGCTGGAGGTTCGGTTGCGCCAGGTCCCCGAATTGGAGCGCCGCATCGCCGAGTTGACGGCTGCTTAGGCGGCACAACCTATATTATGGTTTGAGTGGAAATAATACCGAATAACCGTGGCTGAATAGTTGCACAGATATAAGTGTATTTCCTTAGAGGTACTTAGACGTTGGCGTAAAATGTTTAGTTGATATGGTAGTATGCCACAGACAATAATTGAAACAGCTTCTTCGCCAACCACTTGATGGTATCCTGCATATTTGTAATATACTGAGATATACAACCCGTGCCAAATCTCAGGATGGATAACCAAACTGGCTTTGCGTTATACATAGTCGAGGAGAACAGAGCTTATGTACACGACCCTGGAGGTGTCATGGCTCCCAACCCATCCACCAAACCTCTCATGTCAACCATCCTTCCAAAGCCTATCCCAATATCTCACCCACTCCTCTGGTTGCGAGGGTGAAAAGGGCATGTATTCTTATGCAGGCTGTTATCGCCTCTCATGATAGCCTGATGGTCGGCGCCGCATTCCCAGCAGAACTCATGCCCACATCTTGAACCTGTGATACACAAGAATCAGCACTGCATGGGTATTTCGCTTATAGCTAGCTGAGGGGGAAAACTGCGGCCTACCGCATAAACTAAGTAAATTGGGCAGTGCCATGGATCTTGTTGCATTTCTCAACTACTTGATACAGACTCATTGGCACTACTCAATTTAAATCTGAACAAATCCAGAAAGGCGCAAGTGTACACTGCTCCATTTCTTGCCGCAGAGCCAACAGAATTGGTATTTGCATTTTGCACCTGCTATGATTAGTGTCCATATAACGTGGCCGGCGTGGAGGTCCTGTGTGATCGCATAGTACCCATGATAGTGAAGCAGCATTATAGCAAGACTTGCATGTGCGGAAAGATAAAAAGAAAACAGCAAAGGCGGCAAGGAACTTACATGTCATATGTGCACTATAGTTCCTGTTAGTACTGTGTTTGCCTTTATAGAACACGAAGATTTGATGCTTACCAGCGGGATCTCTTCTCGATAGCCCATCCGCATCCTCCACATGGTTTTGTTGTAGTTCTCAATGTTGCATTGCTCTTTGCCTCTTCTTCTCTCCTTCTGGCTACAATTTTTCGCCTTTCTTCTGTTGCATTCTGCTCTCGTTGCCTCTGATGCCTCTCTTGTTCTAGTTGTCGTTGCATTTCCTGGTTCCTCCGTCTCTCTCGTTCCAGCTCTCGTTGCCTCTCTTGGTTCCCCTGTCTCTCTAGCTCTTGCTCTCGTTCCCGTTCTCGCTCTCTCGCTCTCCGATCTTGTGCCTCTTGGCGCTCAATTTCAGCATTTTCTTCAGCTTCCAACCTGCGAGCGACGTCCAAATCCGCTTCTTCTTGAGCTTCTTGAGCTGCTTGAGCCTCCTCCCACCTTTCATTTTCCAGTTCCATGTAGCTGCGGAATTCTGGATCCTCTTGAAGCCGATCATACTCGTCGCAAGACAAGTCTTCATGCCAGTTGACTCCGTGGCGAAAACATGAGCGATGATTGCATTTAATGCAAACTACGATGGGTTGAGCAGACCCAGAGTCATGGATCTGTCCAGAGCCGCAATCAGAGGTACACCAGAAGAAGTTCTCCTCGTCTGCCACAGCAGCTCGAAGCGCCTGTCTTTCGTATCTATATGATGTTAGTCGTATTCTATCGGTTTGAGTACTATATTCATACTTGGAAATTGTCTGTTCATCGGCAAGGCGTTGAATGTCGTTATGTTCTAGTCTTTCTTTGCACTCGTCGCAATTGATTTCGTTCCAGTATTCAGTCTTTATGGCCACTTGGATTGATCGCACCATGCAATCCAAACATATAGAAGGAGGGTGCGTGCATTTCGAGGTGACAAAATCTGGAAAAGAATCTGGAGCTTTCATGTCGCTACAGGCAAGACACTCTCGGCCGCCTATTGCGCTTACTGTCACAGCATCACTGTCCGGTGACTCAGGCAGATCAAGGTACGGGCTTGCAGAGGACGAAGACGAAGATGATGCGGTGGCGGCGGTGCTAGCTATCGGTTGTTCATTGGATGAAGTATTGTTGTGTCTGATATCGGAAATCTTAGTACCTGTATTCTCAAGGTCGAAGTCTGCAAAGTTTAGGATAGACGCAGGGGTAGGATGATAGCCTTGTCGAGGCGACAAAGCAGAAGTAAACCCATGAGCGACAACTATATCGCGAAGAGACTCTGCAGTAAAGTCAAAATCATCGAGAAAAGAAGGACGTTGATAGCGAAAATGGGCTTGTTTTGATGGTACAGGGGCTGTGTCGTACGCTTGAGACTGAGCTGTGTTACTCGATGAAGAGTCTTGAGGTTTATTCGTTCGATTTTACACTACAGTAGCACTACTATCGTCTTCAAAACCACCCGTAATGGCCGAGTTAATGCGCCCATAGAAGCTGCTATTTTGGGCGGACATGTCGTTGGTGCGCGCAACTTTGGACTGTTGGCGAGGCGGTTGAATAGGGGGGCGTTGCTCAGGGTTGCGTTTTTGAGAGGGAGAAGGGCGAGAATTTGAGTATCTATCAGGGGAAGGACGTGTCTTTTTTGCAGTCGCTTTATTCCTGCGCTGAGTGACAGTGGCAGTGTCAGTGTCAGTGCCATTTCTGGTTCTCGAGGTAGATGTCTGATTAGTCGAAGTTGAAGTTGAAGTCGTTGCCTTGACCTTCTTCTTTTTTGGTACCACCTTGTGGCCTTTGTTTCTCCTGAAGCATAGCATTTTGCAAAGATATCAGAGCATTCAGAAAAGGAAACACAGGGTTTCACAAAGGAAGCAGGTACCCGATCCCCCGTCCAGGAATAAGTTGAGGTTTCACAGCCCTGCCCAGGTTAGGAGGCAATGTTGAGTGGGTGAGTATGATGTTTGATGATGGTTTGCAAAAAAGTTGATCGACACAAGTTCAAAGCAGTGGGGGACTTTATGTACTCTGCCAACGTTAAGTTCAAGGGAGATACCTTAAGGCTACCACCAAAGAAAGAAAGAAAGAAAGAAAGAAAGAAAGAAAGAAAGAAAGAAAGAAAGAAAGAAAGAAAGAAAGAAAGAAAGAAAGA